CATCTACGAACCAAAAATGATCATTGAAATCAGTTTATAGCAAAATATTAATCCCATTTCACATGAATGTTACTGCATATATACATACATACACCGTTGGGACTTGGAACAGGTACTACATTTGGACAGTAATGTAGGACTATAATTTAGCTTAATTTTTTCACGGGGCGTATTATGAAATTTTGTATGAAACTATTATTGTTCTATATTGCAGGAGTATGTGAAGACAACTGAGTGTGATAACTTTGTGCTGGAAAAATCTATGAAAATAAATTCTTATTGTAATCCAATAAAGGCAGTGGAGAGTATAAGGACCTATTTAAATGAGGATGAGCTCAAAGAATTCAGGAAATCAGTGTTCGGTTATTTACTTGACTTGGGAAACATACCCTGGGTAAATGGGCAGTTGTTAATCATACTCTGCGCCAATCATGTTGAGCGATTGAATACAGAGAATGACAAAACAAAGCTGGAATTTTTGATTGGTAACAAAGTTGCATCTTTTACAAAAAGTGACTTGGCTTTAATTACCGGGTTCCCGTTTGGTACACAGAAGGCAATAACATCCAGTAAAGCTCCAGACGATTTGTGGAGAAGATACTTCTCTGGAATGAAAAAGTTTCACGAAGAGACATTAAAGACGTTTTTGAATCAGGGAAATCAAGAGAGAGTGGAGCAGAGGCAATGGACGCGGTAAAGCTTGGTTTATTGCATGTCTTAGGCAGTTATATTCTAGGAAATCAATCATCAATAAAGCTCCCATCGATGTACATTAATTTGGTAGATGATATCGAAAAGTTCAACAAATATCCATGGGGTGATGTTGTGTGGGATGATCTACATGAACAAGTAAGGAAATGTGCAGGTGTTCTTTACCAGGAGCCGTCTGCAAGATTTACATTTCCAGGATATATATTTGCTCTGCAGATCTGGGCATATGAGACTTTCCCGGGCCTTGAAAAAGCAAAAGTTTGTGTGAGGAGGGCGAGAGCAAATATGTGGCCTAGGACACTGCAATGGGCAGCCCCTGTTAGGTCGTCACAGCAAGTCATTGAGGATGTGATATTTAATAATGACCAGGTGGGAAAAGTAAATAATTGAATGGAAGTGTTGAATTTGTCATATTGGGCAATATAATAATGTTTTTATAATTATATGTGCAGGTAGAATGGGAAGAAATGAAAGCCACTGAAAAAGAGCTAAAGATGGACTCAGTTATTAAAGCATTGACAAGCAATGTTAATGAAGTTGATGTGAAGGAGGGAAATGATAGTGACGATTTCGAAGAACGGGGATGTAGTAGAGTGATGGCCAAGGCAGTAATGACACGCAGTAAGGTAGTACAAAAAAGGCAGGCTGCGCAAAAGGGAAAGCAAAGAGACAAAAGAAGCCCGGAAATGAAGAGAGGGAAGATAAAGTGATGCACAATATCATGGCAGCCATTGTATCACAAGGAAAAAGATTAAAAAAGCTAGAATCTAAGGTGGATAAGCTGTGTGAGTTGCAAATGAAACAATGCAGCATGTTGAAGAAGGTTTTAGATAGTAGAGGCATGACGTGGAAGCGTAAAAAGATGAAGAAAGTGTCTAAGAAAGCAACAATGAAAGATAAGGAAGACATGCCAAGTTTTGACTTGGGTATGGAGTTTAATGAACAAAGAGTAGAGGACAGTGAGTAAGGTAATGAGCATGATGAAGTTGAGGAGTTAGTCTGTGAGAGATAAGAGACGGTTGATAAGATGGTGGAAGATGATGTGCAAATGACACAAGATGACATGTTCAAGGAAGTAGATGGATCAATGAACACCCAGCAGCTACTTAAGGAGGTGGAATTGATTGAAAAGAATATGATGACTGATGAGACAAAGAAAGAAGAGCAGGATGATGTTCATATCTTTGAAGATATAGGAATGCTGGATACGCAGCTGCTGTGTGCGGAGGTAGATGTGATTTTTGAGAAATACATGGGCAATATGGAGGCTAAACATGACAGTGAAAAAGGAAGTGAAAAGGTAAATGGTGTTTACAGTGATTGTGTTAGTAACTCGTTATATAATTGTGAATATTTTGTGCAGGTTAAGGTGAGTGAAGATATTGATGGTGCCTGCAAGGACACTAACACAACAAATTATGCTGAGCTAAACAAGGAAAGTATTTGATCATATTACAAAGGACTGGATACATGAAATTTTAAGTTTTTTAAAGTAACTGCATCATTATTATTATAATTTTTTTCTTTTTTTTCATTTGTTTCTCACAACATACTTCGATGACACATGGACCTTATTCACATCCAATGCCTATGTAATGCTTATAATGTCCATAGTTTTAGTAAACCAGGTTAATGCTCTCGATTCTATACATTGAGGCTTCAACAAAACTCAACAAATTTTATTTTAATACGTGTTAAAAACTGGCTGGTTTTAAAAAAACTTGCAGTTAACCAAGGTGATAGGGAAATTGAGCACATACCTAGAAGAAGGAAGGAGAAAGTAATCATTATCTCATCAATTAGTGCATTAAGTGATGATTGTAAGAGTTTTGATGGTCATGTAGGATAAGGAAGAGGGAAATGGTAAAGAGGCTGAAGTGGAGCAAAATGAAGATGAGAAGGGCATTGAAGACATTGACCCAGAAACAAATGAAGAAAGTCTAGAACCACTAGACTCGCAGATTGTGGTATAATATATTTAGTTAGGCCATAATATTGCATTTAATAGTCATGCATAGTTGCTGAAAATGTCATGCATTCATTGTCATGCTCATAATTCAATTAATAACAGTTTTATCATAATAGTTGTTGAAAGGTTTTTTTTTTGTGGATCGGGTATACACAGGGGACACAACCCCGCTGGCAGTTGATGGAATGCCAAAAAGAAAGAAAAAATGCCCAGACAGATTTACATTTTCTGGACCCCGAAAACAGAAAAAGAGGAGGAAACAAGAGAAGGGAAATGAGAAAGATATAGGTGATGGTGTAAGGCATGCAATAGTGGGGCCATTTAGTCTAGATCCATCAGAAATACCGCCTGCAGAATTGCTTCAAAAAACATCAGAATTCATGCATGATGGACTACTTAAGAACCACAAAAGTAGTAAGGAGAGGAAATACAAATCAGGATATGATGAATTAAAGATCAGAGGCATTAAAGAAGCATTTGGGGATGCAAGTTGTGATAGGAAATCATGGTACTACACAATATACTTCCCCGGGAATTGGTTAAGAGACACGGTTAGATTATATTATTTAATTATAATTTTTTTCCATAATTATGCATGATAATTTAGTGGTATTACTTAGAATTACAAGTAAAGGCAGTAACTCACGCACTAAAAATTTTTATATGCATTAAATTTGATTTGTGAAGCATGTGGAGGTTGGAATGTTTTTCTTAAGAATGAAAGCTGAACAATATAAGCTGCATCAGAAATTCACAACAGCAGATACTATGTTTATGCCTTTGGTAAAGCAGCATTACGACAACCACATTTCCAATGCAACGCCAGTGTCAGAAAGTGCTTTAAATAAGAATATAATGGGTGTCATCCTTGGGACACGTTTGGACTATGGACTGGCCTGGGCTGAATCAGAGCATGTATACATGCCATTGAATACAGGTAACCACTACATTCATTTGGTGAGTTGTGAATAAATGATAGATTTATGTGATAATAAAGGACAGTACTTTTACATAATAAAGTACTGTCCTTTAATTGTAAAATGAGAATTTGGTGAGTTGTATACATGCCTTTGAATTCATGTAATCACTGGATACTTCTAGTGCTTGACATAACTGCGAAGTGCATACGTGTGTACGATTCTAGTGTTCGACGGGGTCAAACAAACATACACCTTCACCATTACCTCCCGAGCTTGCAAAAGTTTTTACCGAGACTAATGGATAAGCTAGGGGTGTACAATGAGCGTAGTGAGGGGCCTATGGGGGAGGATTTACTACAGATTCATATGGTGAAAGAATGCCCACAACAAAACGATAGGTATGTGATTAAAGTGAATGACCAACGATGGTTTAATTAAAAATGATTAGGATTCCATGAATTGATAATTTTATATTGTCGAACAGTGACAGTTGTGGCATGTTCGTGTTAAAGATGGCTGAGTTTTTAATGATGGACAAGGATGTGGAGTACGTTAGACCAGAAGATATCAATGCATACCGCGCCAAGATGACGACAGAGCTTCTAGTGCATTTTGGTGTCATAGGCGCATAGCGTTGAAAACCTAATGACCAATATTTTTTAATGTTACAGAGCTGGATAATATGGATATTATGCTTGCTTTACATAATACTAGTGTTTTTTGTATGTACTGGTGGTTGTAGTATGTGATGGTGGTTTTTGTATGTCCTGTTTTGTTTATTGAGCTTGAGTTTGGTACGATAATTTTCAAGAATGTAAATGACTTAGAAGTTATTTTAAGGACATTGAGGAATTAAATATGCAGGACATTGAGTATGTATAATGACATATTGTGAAAGAATGACTAAAAAGGGTAGGTCAGTGCGGCATTAAATATATACTAAACAATGTATAGAGTACATATGTTGAAATATTGTCAGGGCAGGTGGTTATAGTTGTTAAAAAATGGGTGACATTGAGTATGTATATTGCCATATTGTCAGTTATTGACCTTTGGAGTTTGGTACGATAGTTTTTAACCATGTCAAATGACATAGAAAATAATTTCAGGACATTAAGGCATTAAAACTGCCCGAAATTGAGAATGTATATTGACATGTTGTCACCTTTTGAGCTCTGGAGTTTGATAGTATATTTTTCAATCATGTAATATGACTTAAAAACAAGGCAGATCATTGAGGCATTAAATATATAATAAACAAAAGGAAGTAGTAAGCATCAATGTGTATAGATGGACATTGAAATACTTTTTTTAACACACAGATGGCAATAATAGAAACTGCAAATCAAATTTAAAATTAAACAACACTGAAAGTAACGGCAAAAAACCAAACAAGTGTACGTGACTAGATGCGCAACAATGTTAAAATTAAAACGGCACATAAAAACAATTTTTAACGCATGTGTAGCGGAATAGGATTTCTACAAGTCTTTCTATTGTGTCCAACCATGAGGCAACGAGTGCATGTTTGTCTCCGAACATGTTCTCCTGTAGATGGAATTCTTCTTTTCTTCGGCCTTCCAGGAGGTCGTGATTCACATGATGGCGGGTTGCAAGTGATTTGCTTAACATGTGAAGGTACAATCCAACCATCCGGACTCCCAATAGGATGAATAATATCGCGATATGTTTGTGCCCAATGATGTGCAGTATAGAATTCTGAAATGTAATCGTAGCAAGAAAGGCCTGGGCGGGAGCGAATAGCTGCAACAGAATGTACACATAAAAACCCATCAAGCTGAAATTCTCGACAAGTGCAAGTCTGCTCCTTCAAGTTGACAACATAAGAACGGGATCTCTTATCAAACACCTCAAACTCAAAAGCACATGATGGTTTGACCTGCACAATGTGTGATTAAACATATAAAACTATAATTAAATATTAAGTACAGTAAAAGTAATTCAATAATGAATAACGTTGGGATGTATTTTAAAAAAGTAGTGCAATGAAGACAAAGAGAAGAGGGTAATACTGTCATGACGGCCGCCATAGCTTGTAAAACAACTACTTCAGATTCAAAGTGTGCAGATAAACGACAATTGTTCGACGCTGAAGAGTCTCGCCGTTCACAAAACCATTTTTGCATTCGTGCAATAATAAACTCTATCAACTTACATATTGGGTATTCTCGGGCAGTGGCATTAACTGCATTTAATGACTCCGCGTTGTTTGACATCATAACTGAGTATCGATTTCGACTAGCATAAGCACGAGACCATTTGTCATGGCCCATCCGCTCTAAATACGTACGAATGCGTGGATCCTCACTGTCCAGCATTTGAAGATACTCTTCACACTCGTACACAGATCCAACACGAGCAGCCTGCAAAAACTTCCATGACACAGTTTTTTGCGTGCCACGAAATCTTGTTTTCAAATTAGCCAATATGTGGTAAACACAGTAACCATGTTGCGCATGAGAAAATACAGAACGCACGGAACTAATAATGCCCTCGTGGCGATCAGACACAATATATAGATCATCCCGATGCATCAGAGAATGCTTCAACATACTGAAGAACCATGACCAATTTTCGGTATTTTCTCCACTACAAATACCGAATGCCAATGGAAATATTTGTTTGTTTGCATCTTGTGTACATGCAGTGAGTAATGTACCCTTATAATACGACTTCAAAAAAGACCCATCCACAAATATAACCGGAATGCAATGAATCCAACCTTCCCTCCATGCAGAAAGGCACATGGAAAAATTATTAAATTCACCATTTTCCTTGCACGAATAAGAAACAATAGAACCTGGGTTACTCCTTTCAAGCACATGACACATTGAAGGTAAGCGTGCATATGAATCCTTTTCAGATCCCATAGCTAGTTCCATTGCCAATTCTTTGGCAATCCATGCTTTTTTGTATGACATGTAAATGCCGTATTTGGTCTGCATATCAAGCATAATTGATTTCGGAGGGTATGGCTTATTGGATGCATCACCGTACTCCTGTTTGATAAGTTCGGCAATAATCCTGGACGTAGCCTGACGGCTATTTCGTTGACGTACATCAATGGAGCATGTCTGCTCAGAGTCAAATCTGTGAAAAAATGGATAATGAAAGGATTTATCTCTTGGGAAGTACAGTGGATAATGAATTAATGCACATTGTTTGAAATAATAATATTAAAAAAAAATGCATCTGTTATAGGAAATAAAAACTGTATGATGCCATAAAAAACAGTAGCAATTAAAAAATAGTTTGTCAATATACAGTATTAAATTAAAGTGAGGAGAGGACATTTAAAGTGAAGGAATAGCAGTACACAAAGGGTAGTGGTAAAATGAGATTCTTTAACATGCAAACAAGACGTAATGCAAAACACGGGGCATTAAAACAATTGCACATGGAGCATTAAAATATATCCACAAATTATAATGGCACATGGGGAATTAAAAGAATATGACACTAGAAATATTAATTAAGAGATACGTTAACACGAAAGCAAAACCTATTGAAAAAAGCAAGGCATTATAACATTAGCACAAAGAGAATTAAAATATTTGTGAGTAAGGGCATTAAAACAATGCTAACAGAATTACGACATACCTTTACATGCCACCAGAGATTAACACCAAAGTCAGGGCATTATATCAATTACACAGACGGCATTAAAAATATATGCACGAATGTAATACTGATTTATTTTTACTAAAATCGTTTTTTAAAATACAACAAAAATGTGCACCAATACAAGACAGTCATAAGACATTAAATTTAAATGCCGTTGGAAATGCACAATCAATTTTATTAAAATATTATTACGTAGGGCAGTAACAAACACGCTTGGTACGTAATTATAATTTCAAAATAAATGAATGCATACCTTTTGACCTGGAACAATGACACTCCGTCGATGCGCACACCACGCACAACCCACTTGCACTCGGGGTCAACACACACAACATGCAAAACCTTCGGACAAGATGTCTTCGTTCTATACTGAAAGAAGTTGGTAATCGCATACATCTTTAAGTGAAAATCAAGTTCTTTCTTGCTTCCATAGATGCTATTCAATGCAATGTGTGTGGGTTCAGAGAATGGTTGAGAACATGCATATTATGAATCTCTTCATCAACCTGAGAATTTAACCTCATAATTTCAGCACTAGAAATGTGGTCAAATTCAATGTCCATACCAATATTGTGACTGAAATTATTGTCTTGTTCACTAAAGTCACCACACTCTTCCGGATTACTCGGGTGGTTAATTCCACTTGAATTGTGGATATCATCACATACTGTGGTGCTTTGTTCCTCTCCAATCGTAGCATCACATACAAATTCAACACACAGCGGCATTTGCATCGGGTCCTTTTGAAAACTCTTCAATTGTAGATAAAAGAATAGACTAACGTCATCACATACATTCACGGGAGGTGGGCATGAAGCATAAACGTATGAGATCTTCATATTCTTCCCGGCATAACTGTCACCAATAACAGCGCAAACACGAGAACATAGAGAATTGTACGTACAGTTTGAAGGTATAGTGAAACCGGCAACATGAATACTAGAGAACAAAGTATTTGAGATCCATTGGCCATCATATTTAATCATAATCCACATTTCCGGGCAACTTACGGGGACGGAATCCATGAATGACTTCAATCGAAGAATGGCCGTGAATTGATGGAGTAGAGTCGGATTAAGCAAAAAAGGAAGAGCAACGTTCGGTATGAGACCTACGTGATTGAGACTTACTTTCTATCTACGGTTTAAACTTCAACCGGTGAAGCCGTGAAGGAGAATGTGATTATAGGGAAATAGGGATACGTAGCAAGATTTGTACACTTACCTTCTATTAATCTTCTAATAATTGATTCCTTAATTTTAGGAGATTTTTCCCTAAGTGATTGAGACGTGCAGGATTCTTAATGCGCCGGTTATGACATAAACGGTTACAAAAGATTGAATATAATGAGGCTACGTGATTCTTGACCATCATGGGCACTGTTGGGAATAAAAAAAAATGAACAACACACGTGCATGGAGTAATCATGTGCAGTCATAGATTGGGATAAATATTCAAGTAGTCATATAATGGGAACAACATCATCTTTTAGTAATATCCATGATAAATTTCTCTTTTATTTAAATGTTTATATGTACTTAAAAAAAGTAGTTTGTGGAAGTTGATATTCTCATGCCAATATGAAAGCAACACGTACAACCTAACGAGTGTTTTATTAATGAAATACAAAAATTGAAAGAAAACATTGTAAATAGCATATTACTCCGTATATTATTATTATTAAAAAACGAATTTTACAGTATTGGAAGGTTTAAAAATATTTCACTTTTTTCAATTTGTTAATAAATACGAGATTATGTAAATATTGCAAAATTGAAGCCATAACAACTTATAAAGAATAAATAAATAAATAATAAAGAATAAATAATAAAGAATCGATAAAAAACAACTAATAAAGAATATACGTAGTACATTTTTAGATGAAAGCACTAATCTAATTTATCCTGTTAATCTATTTTGTTTGTTTGTTTCAAATTACATGTAAATGATCGCACATACAACTACATCATTCATTTGAACGTATATAGATAATTAATTTTTTTGTTGACTCAGACAATTAAAACTGATCACACTGACAACTAAAGTAGATCACACAGACGATTAATAATTGTCTGTGAGCCGCACAACTATTGTTAGAGATGTAAATATTGCCTGTGCATACAAACAAATAATTATCTGTGCGTAGGCAAATATTGTCAGTGCATACAGGCACTGCACACATATAAATGAATTTCCCAATTTCAATTCGATTACATCTTTATTTCCTTCTTCCATAGAAATTTAATAATTCATCACTTCAGAATTCAATATTGTTGGGATCATATGCCAAGCCCAGTGCCATCGGCCCATTATCCCCGAGCTTTGGCCCAACTAGGCCCAAGACGCAGTCTCACGAGCGGGAATCACCCCTTGCTCATTTACTTATTTATCGGGCCGGTTCGCCCATTAGATTGGACATGTATTATGTATTTGGGCCAAGCCCACGTAGATTAGACTTTGGACTTGTGATGGATGTAGGGATGACAATTTAACCCGACCCGATGTATACCCGCAATGAACCGAACCGGTCAAACTGGGGAAAACCGCTTTGACTGGGTAACGGGTACGGGGCGGGGAATACCCGATTTATGTAAACGGGTAATGGGGCGGTTATGGGTTTATACCTACCCGCCCCATTACCCGCCCCGTTACTTGCCCCGTTTAATTTGGATACGGTTACCCGCACCATTACCCGACCCGCACAATTAACTTACATATTTTTATAGTTTATGTATTTATTATTTAATATATTAGGTATATATGAATAGTAATACATTAGTATATGACACTTATTCCCTCTAATTTTTTGAAAAATATTGAACTAATCGGCTATCCTTTGCAATTATGAGGAGTCCGTGCTCAAAGTTCACTATTTTAGATTTTTAATTTTCAATATCATTCATCATCCTTCCTTTGTTAACTTCTACAAGATTTATTTTTTTCACATATTGATTATTTGATTTTCGCGATTTTCTGTACACAATTTTCACATTGTGACTCTTAATTTTTCATCCAATAATAACTTTCATAAAGCTCATATATGAGTTTAAAGTCCAAATATTGGGAAACATTACTCTAGACTGCTTTAATTTATGTAATTGCTAATAATTTTGTAGAGATGTATTCGATGATTCACTAGTAAAAATTTGTTAAACTGCGTCACGTCATTTTAGGCGCTTAAAAACGAGCGCCTTTAAAATATACGACGTGTGGCACTTTTCTCTCCAAGCGCCTCTAATATGTATTTAATTTTTTAATTATTTAATGTTTCGGGTCTTTGCGGCGCTTATATATAAAAGCGCCGCCAATATTTAAATTAAATTTTGATATTTAGAAGCGCAGGAGCGAAAAATAGTAAATGAAGCGCCAAACCGAAAAATTTAAATAAAATTTTAAAATTTATCAAGGCTTCTGCGGCGCCTAATTAATGAAAAGCGCCGTATTAGAAAAAAAAAATTTAGTTTTTTAGGAGGCGTCTATATGTCAAAAGCGTCGCAGACCGACGCCAAATTTTTATTCAAAAATAAACTAATTTTTTAAAAAATCGGATTTTAAAAAGAGGCGTGCGGCGCCTATATGAAAAAAGCGCCGCATACATGTTCCGGTTTCTTAGGAGGCGCCTATATGTAAAAAGCGCCGCAGACCGATGCCAATTTTTTTTCAAAAATAAACTAATTTTTTAAAAAATCGGATTTTAAAAAGAGGCGTGCGGCGCCTATATGAAAAAAGCGCCGCATAAACTGTTCCAGTTTATTTCGCCATGGCCGGTCGTTCGCAGTAGTAATCGTTTCAGTTTGGCCTAAACCCTAAGCCGTCGCACCTAGTTCGTGGCCCAGCCGTCGCACCTCCGCCGCTCCTCCGCTCAACCGACAACGCTCCTCCGCTCACCTTCGTTGCTGTCGAAGCCGTCGAGGGTCGTCCGCCGCTCACTCCAGCCGCGCGCAGCCGTCGAGGGTCGTCCGCGTCAAGTGCGCGACGAGCTCCGGTCGTCCGCCGCTCACTCCAGCCGCGCGCAGCCGTCGAGGGTCGTCCGCGTCAAGTGTGCTTCGAGCTCCGGTCCTCCGGTCCGCTTGCCGCCGTCGAGCTCCGGTCCGCTTACTCCAGCCATCGGTCTCCCATTTCACAGCAGGTATGTATATTTTTTTAATAATAAATTTTTTCAATATTTTTTATTTTAATTAATTTTGAGTAATATAATTTTGGAATAGTCGTAATGAGCAGCAAAACACTTCCAAGAGGTTGTTTTATATTAGCATAACCCTCAATTGCAATCTTACATAAAAAGTGTGCTTTAAAAGAAAAAAAGTATGCAATAATTTATTATTATTTTTTTATTTTTAGATAAAGTTTAGTGTTGTTAATCATGGATCGTAGCTGGATGTATGGTTTGCGAAATACTTCTCAATTTTTCAATGGTGTTCATGAGTTTGTGAAAGTGGCTGTTGCGCATCAGAAGCAACAAGGACAAAAAGGAATTTTATGTCCTTGTTCAATGTGCCGTAACATTAAAAGAGAGAATGACGTGAACATAGTTCTTCAGCATTTATTTGAGAAGGGTTTTAGAGAAAACTATATGACATGGACATTCCATGGTGAGAATCGTGTGGATGTCGAAGACCTTTTTTCTGGAGCAACTTCTAGTCATCTAAAGCGTAAAGCTACTCATATTACTACTACTTCAAATGATATTGATGATGGTGTTGCGGATGATGATGTCAATGAAGATAGAATTGATGAACTCTTGAATGATGTTCATGATAATTTTGATTATCAACCAAAATCTTATGAGAATTTGATTGAGGCCGCCAATATACCGCTATTCACGGGTTCTGAATTCTCCAAACTATCTGTTGTTCTCAAATTATTTCACTTGAAAGCTAAACATGGGTGGAGTAATGTTAGTTTCACTGAGTTGCTGATATTGCTTCCAGAAATGCTTCCAGAAGGAAATACACTTCCCGATACGAGCTATAAGGCTAGAAAGTTGTTGTGTCCAATGGGAACAGAATGGGAGAAGATTCATGCATGCCCAGCCGATTGCATACTGTACCGCAATGAATATGAAAACCTAAATGAATGTCCAAAGTGTCACGCTTCACATTATAAGAAGAAGAAGGATATTAATGTTGGCTTTGATGCTGAATACACCAAAACACCTGCCAAAGTGTTGTGGTATCTTCCTATCATTCCTAGATTTAAAAGATTATTCATGAATGAGAAAGATGCAAAAAACTTAGTGTGGCATGCTCAAGGTAGGAAAAAAGATGAGTACTTGCGACATGTATCTGATGCACCACAGTGGAGGCAAATTGATTTGAAATATCCTGATTTTGGCAAAGAAGACAGGAATTTGAGACTTGGATTATGCACTGATGGTATGAATCCATATGGCACATTGAGTAGTCAACATAGTACTTGGCCAGTTTTATTGGTTATTTATAATTTGCCTTCATGATTGTGCATGAAGAGGAAGTACATAATGTTGTCTCTGCTTATCTCGGGACCACAACAACCCGGTAATGATATTGATGTGTAACTCGCACCATTAGTTGATGATCTTAAACTTATGTGGAATGAGGGTGTTACAGCATATGACATGCACACAAAAACAAATTTTAATTTACGTACTTTGTTGTATTGCACTATTAATGACTTTCCAGCTTATGGAAATCTTTCTGGATATACAGTTAAAGGTGGAAAGGCATGTCCCATTTGTGAAGATGACACTCTTGATTTGCGATTACCCAATTGCAAAAAGAATGTATACATGAGTCATCGAAGATTTCTTCCACGAAACCATCGTTATCGTGTACTCAAAAAGGCATTTAATGGAAAAGCTGAACACGGTGTTCCTCGACGTGTATTAAGTGGATCAGAAATATATGATAAGGTCAAAGATTTGAACACGGTTTTTGGTAAGCCATATAAGCGGAACAAATAGAGTTTGTGGAAGAAGAAGTCTATTTTTTGGGAACTTCCGTATTGGAAGGACTTATCTGTGAGGCATTGTCTTGATCTTATGCACATTGAAAAAAATGTGTGTGACAGCATCATTTCGACCATTATGAATGTTCCCGGAAAGACAAAGGATGGAATTAATATCCGAAAAGACATGATTGAACATTTAAATATTCGAAAAGAATTGGCACCACAACCGCGGGAAAATG